TTGAGTGCGGTGCAACAATGTGTCCTACGTCGTTACAGCAAGGGGGTAATATAGTGGCGCGCGTGCGTGCGCGCGTACGTGTGCGTGTGTATGTGTGCGTGTGTATGTGTGTATGTGTGTATGTGTGTGCGTGTGTATGTGTGTGCGTGTGTATGTGTGTGCGTGTGTATGTGTGTGCGTGTGTATGTGTGTATGTGTGTGCGTGTGTATGTGTGTGCGTGTGTATGTGTGTATGTATGTGTGTGCGTGTGTATGTGTGTGCGTGTGTATGTGTGCGTGTGTATGTGTGTATGTGTGTGCGTGTGTATGTGTGTGCGTGTGTATGTGTGTATGTGTATGTATGTGCGTGTATGTGTGTATGTGTATGTGTGTATGTGTGTATGTGTGTATGTGTATGTGTGTATGTGGTGTATATGTGTGTATGTGTGTGCGTGTGTATGTGTGTATGTGTATGTGTGTGTGTGTATGTGTGTGCGTGTGTGCGTGTAGTGTGTGCGTGTGTATGTGTGTGCGTGTGTATGTGTGTTGTGTGCGTGTGTTTGTGGTGCGTGTGTATGTGTGTGCGTGTGTATGTGTGTATGTGTGTGCGTGTGTATGTGTGTATGTGTATGTGTGTATGTGTGTATGTGGTATGTGTATGTGTGTATGTATGTGTATGTGTGTATGTGTATGCGTGTATGTGTGTATGTGTATGTGTGTATGTGTGTATGTGTATGTGTGTATGTGTGTATGTGTGTGTGTGTATGTGTGTATGTGTGTATGTGTGTATGTGTGTATGTGTGTATGTGTGTATGTGTATGTGTGTATGTGTGTATGTGTATGTGTATGCGTGTATGTGTGTATGTATGTGTATGTGTGTATGTGTATGTGTATGTGTGTATGTGTATGTGTGTATGTGTATGTGTGTATGTGTGTGTGTGTATGGTGCGTGTGTATGTGTATGTGTGCGTGTGTATGTGTATGTGTGTGTATGTGTGTATGTGTGTGCTGTGTATGTGTGTATGTGTATGTGCACGTAACGCATCCGCTGGATGCACATGCCGCTGCTGTGGCCCATGAAGTGCCAGAATTCCCACTTGCGTCTCCTCCGGCGAGGCAAGTGGGAGTCGATATTTGGCACCATTTAAATAGAGCCCCGGAGAGGGGCGACATTATTTTGGACTCTCCAGAAGGGTCGCGCACCCTGGTTTCCCGCCTATTTCTGCAGTGGCGTGCGCGTGCGTGTGTGTGCACGCGCGTGTGTGTGTGTATGTGTGTGAGTGTGTGTGCACGTGTGTGTGGTGTGTTGGGAGCGGTAGTGTAGCGGTTAGCGCGCTGCGCTATGAACCTGGCGACCCGGGTTCGATTCCAGCTCACGTCCAACACCGGTGACGGGTTGTCTGAACCGGTCCTAGGCCTCCCCTAGGTCGACTCAGCCTCAAATGGGTACCTGGTGCGATGTGTTAACATCGCCACTAGGGAGACAAAGGCGGCCGGGAGTGGTACTGGCCACCCACCTTCTCGTGTGCTGTTCCGGCCTTCATACGTGCTCGCTAACAGCACTTGCCCCAACAGTCGGTTAAGGCTTTTCGGGGGATATTTGCCTTTTGTTCCTGTGAGGCGCAGTCGTGGATTCGTGTGAATGTGTGAAGTGACCCGGTCATCTCGGTCAATCCACGTGGACTCAAAGGTGCACCTAGCCTGGCACAAGCGCCGTGGTGACGTCACCGACAACTTAGGGGTGAACGGCGGTTGTTACTGTTGTTGTTACAATACTGTATGTATCATAATGTATGTCCTGTGACCGTGTGTCCCGCTGCGTGAGTGGGATTGTCCCCATTGAGTGGACTCAGCCATAAATGAGTAACTGTTCCCTGGTGCGGTGTGTAAACATCAGCATTGGGAAGACGAATGCGGCCGGGCGTGTTCATGGACACCGACATCACCCACACCCTCGTGTGCCTTGCCGGCCTTCGTAGGTGCTCCCGAACAGCACTTGACCCCAACAATCTTCTAAGGCTATACGGGGGATCTTTGTCTGTGTGTGTGTCCCTGTGAGTGCTGCATGCCCGGACAGACAGAATGATAAACTGCAGCCACCGGGGGCGGGGGGGACCGTGGGACTGAAATATCAGCTCCGCGTATCCAGTCTCACTCCCCCTGACTGCGCCACGTCCGCTCCCCAGCCCACCGACAGACCGAGCGACACCCCCCCCCACTACCCCCCCCCCCCACCAGCCACAGGCGTGGTGACATCTCTCATTCCACACGCACGTGGCAGCAGCAGTGGCATAGAGACCGTGGTGAAGACGGGCCACTCACTCGCGCTCTGCAACAGTTCAGCCTCACAGGCTGATCCTTCACAAGTTGCTGTTCGATGAAGGCCGGCAAGGCACACGAAAGGGGGGGGGGGGGTGGTTGGCCAGCACCACGCCCGGCCGCCTTTGTCTCCCCAGTGGCGACGTTTACACACCGCACCAGGTACTAATTTGTGGTTGAGTCGACCTAGTAGACACCCAGGACCAGTTGAGATGATCGTCACTGGTGGTGGCCGTGAGCGGGAGTCGAACTCGTGTCACTGAGAGTTGGTAGCGCGGTGGCGCCACACGTGGCTTGACAACAACAATAATAACAACAACATAACGACAACAAGAATCTTCGTGTGTGTCGCCCGTTTCACTCCTTTCCCGCAGCGACGCTCGCCCCGGCTCGCTCCGAGGCCGAGGCGTGGAAGGGTGTAGAGCAGGGGGCTGGGGGGGGGAGAGAGGGGGGGGTCAACAAACACAATGAGAAGAGGTGCCAATTTTGGGGGGGAATTCTGTAAGAGAACTCAAGATTTCCAGAGGCGCAATGCAAGTGAAGAGTTCACGGGCGCATCACGTGTCGTCACGAGGCGGCCCGTGAAGAGCGCCTCCAGGAGCCGCACGTGGCCGCTGCCTGCCTGGTCTCGGGGAGTCCGTGGCCCCGCCCCTCTTGAGCATCACATTCCGCCCCCCCCCCCCCCCAACTGATGGCAGTCATCCACGCCCAGCACAGGGTGATGATTCTCCTTATACGAGCGGTCCTCCTCAACTTTCGTCATTCTGCTACGCGCGCGTGGGTTTGCTTCTTTTCGCATCTTTATATTCGTAATAAGGTTTTTGGGTTAGGGGCCGTCCATAAATGACGTCACGCGATTTTGGACGATTTTTGACCCCCCCCCCCCCTCGTCACACGGCGTCACAAAAAGTCACCCCCCCCCTACAATATGACGTCACAAAGCTATGCCCCCCCCCCAAAACAATATTTCCATTTTTATAATAGAACATGCTTCAAATCGCTTTAAACTATTGTCATTGTAGTGCGTATTTAACGTGGCGCTGCACTCTGATGTTGTAGGAGAAAACATGTATTAAAACGTCTATTTAATTAAGTAGAACGTGTTGTCTATATTTATGTAAAGTTGCGCATTTTGATGTGACGTCACATTTCTCAAACCCCCCCTCCCTCGTCACACATCGTCACAAATGTCTGACCCCCCCCCTAGGTGCGTAACGTCATTTATGGACGGCCCCTTAGATCGCGTAGGGATAATAAATGTGTTGTAATCCGACACTAGCCGCCACAGCCAACCAGTTAGGTTTGTCACGTTAACAAAACGTGCCAATTAGTTTACTTATTCAGCCCACCGCGGTGTGTTGGAGAGTAAATGCACAACATGTACAATTTGAGTAGTACGACGTTTCGCTGGTAGTTACAGCCAGCATCATCAGGCGATTTGTTCACGTGACACACCTTACTGGTTGGCTGTGTTGGGTGGTGGTGGGTTTAACGACACATTTATACTTACACAACTTCTGCTGTTGTTGTTGTTGTTGTCTTGGTGTGGTCTGGGACTGTTGTTGTTGTTGTCTTGGTGTGGTCTGGGACTGTTGTTGTTGTTGTCTTGGTGTGGTCTGGGACTGTTGTTGTTGTTGTCTTGGTGTGGTCTGGGACTGTTGTTATTGTTGTCTTGGTGTGGTCTGGGACTGTTGTTGTTGTTGTTGTTGTTGTCTTGGTGTGGTCTGGGACTGTTGTTGTTGTCTTGGTGTGGTGTGGGAGTGTTGTTGTTGTTGTCTTGGTGTGGTCTGGGAGTGTTGTTGTTGTCTTGGTGTGGTCTGGGACTGTTGTTGTTGTTGTCTTGGTGTGGTCTGGGACTGTTGTTGTTGTTGTTGTCTTGGTGTGGTCTGGGACTGCTGTTGTTGTCTTGGTGTGGTCTGGGACTGTTGTTGTTGTTGTTGATGTCTTGGTGTGGTCTGGGACTGTTGTTGTTGTTGTTGTGTTGGTGTGGTCTGGGACTGTTGTTGTTGTTGTTGTGTTGGTGTGGTCTGGGACTGTTGTTGTTGTTGTTGTCTTGGTGTGGTCTGGGACTGTTGTTGTTGTTGTCTTGGTGTGGTCTGGGACTGCTGTTGTTGTTTTTGCTGCCTTGCCCTAGCTTACATTTAGTGTTGAATTATCAATAGTAATGTATGTACCGTATTTATGTAATGTGTACTTATATATTTTTTATAATTAAATTGTTTTCTTGACTTGATTAGTTTCTCTCAATGTTGCACTTCCATCGGTGTTTCTTTTTGTATTGACTCTTGTTGTTGTTGTTGTTGTCTTGGTGAGGTCTGGGACTCTTGTTGTTGTTGTTGTAAACTTGCGGATCCGCCCCGACTGGATGTCTGCGAAAAACAAGAGCTTCATAGCTCATCGGATTCCTCAAGTATAAATATATGAAGCACACGTGAGTGGGTACATCATGCGGCCTTCCTTTGCTGGATCAAAATATAAGAATAGGGTTTACCCTTTTTGGCAATAAAACAGTTGTGTTAAGAGGTTAAAACACTCAACAGAAACATTTTGCAAAGAATCATGACTGCATTAACCAGGGGTGCCAGCGAGCATGAAACCCAAAAACAATGGAGACATCATTCCTTTGCAAAAAAGTTTATGTTTGGTGTTTTAACATCTGAACACCCGAGTTATTGCCAGAAAGGTTTAACATATTTGTATATCCGTGTGTGTCTGTGTGTGTCGAATCTGGCGATCACGCGATTGCATTCGGATTCCCCCGAATAACCGCGTCCGATCCATCCTGTGTGAGCGATCTTTTTTATTGTTTTTATTTACATTCAACGCAAGCTCGGTACAGAGCACCGATCACAGGGGTCCGAGGCGGTCATTTGACGAACAGATCCTCCACTTCACCGCAGTCGCCACGACGGACATGTCGGACTTTTTCGTTTTGACTAATCATCCTCGTGGTCAACTCCTCTGCAGAGCCGCGTGTCGTGTCGTCACCAGGGGACGGCCCCGCAAGAAGACGCCACATCAATAGCCCTGGTAGATTCACACAGAGACACACAGCCACACCCCTGGTAGATTCACACAGAGACACACAGCCACACCCCTGGTAGATTCACACAGAGACACAGAGCCACACCCCTGGTAGATTCACACAGAGACACACAGCCACACCCCTGGTAGATTCACACAGAGACACAGAGCCACATCCCTGGTAGATTCACACAGAGACACCCAGCCACACCCCTGGTAGATTCACACAGAGACACAGAGCCACACCCCTGGTAGATTCACACAGAGACACACAGCCACACCCCTGGTAGATTCACACAGAGACACACAGCCACACCCCTGGTAGATTCACACAGAGACACACAGCCACACCCCTGGTAGATTCACACAGAGACACACAGCCACACCCCTGGTAGATTCACACAGAGACACACAGCCACACCCCTGGTAGATTCACACAGAGGCACACAGCCACACCCCTGGTAGATTCACACAGACACTTAAAGATTCATATATTTACACAGAGACCCACAGACTCACGTAGAGATTCATATATTTACACAGAGACCCACAGACTCGCACATAAACCCAGAGACTCGCACAGAGAGCTCTAGATAAATGATTGGAGCGGGCGGTGGCGTTGCTATTGGGGTCCATGGTTCAAGATTGGTGACCGCAGTGGCACCGCGGGGCCATTCCTCATTGCCCACCCGTGCAGGAGGAGACAGCCGCATCTGCCGTCGATGGGGCAATTTCACGGTGGCGTTCTGGCGAACACCGAGCATCCTCCTGCAGCTGCAGGTCACAGAATCCTCTCCGGCTGCGGTGGCGGGGGAGGAAAGAGAGAGGGGGGGGGGGGTCGTGGGGAGGGAGAGAGAGAGGGGAGAGAGAGGGAGCGTGAGCTGTCTGAAGTGCCTTAACACCCGCTCTGCATGTGCTGACCTCAGCTGTTATCTAATCTCTGCCTTCCTGTGTGTGTGCGTGCAATAGCCTTGCAGTCCTGCAGATATAATTATAACGCCTCCCCGCGTGGCGCCATGCGCAGCTATGTGTGTGTGGGCTTGTGTTGATATTCGCCTACCTTGTGCGTGGTTGGAACGATTCGGGATTTTTTGTAAATATATAGTGGTGCTTCGCCTGTGACGAAATCACCCGAAATTATTGATGTAATCATCCAGGAAAGCCACACTTGAGCCGTAGGATAGGTTTTTTCAAGGTCCTGCTACAGTGCTTTTTTTATTTAGAGATGTTTTGAGCCGATGTAACGACGAGTCGTGTTTATTGTACACGCGACACTCTGTCCCCGTGCAGACGCATCCCCGTACAGATGGTAACAGATGGCGATTAGTCCACGTGCTGTTCCTCCTTCTGCCAGCGCGCCAGGGGTATGGCACCTCGATGCACGTGGGGACTGGAGTGTCGCAACATCCACTAACCATCGCTGCTGCCTCCACAGCGCTGGGATCACAGGCCCCGTGCACTGCGCCAACACTGCCCGGTCTCATCGGGGGGTCTGGGGAAGCGAGGCAGGTTCGTGCCTGGATAGTTGCTGAGACGGGCATTCGTGTCGGGGTGTCCATAAAAGTCCCTATCTATTTCATTGAAATCAAAATCACTTTGGGGCAAACGATGCAATCGTATAATCAGAGGTGTGTTCGTGAATCTCACTCAAGCATTGGATTCTACGTGAGCACCGTCAATATCTCTGCACAGCTCAAAATCTGCCGGCTGCATTGCCAGAACACGTGTTGCAGCACGTGTGGCGTTATTTTGTTGTAACTGTCCCCCAACTCACCCACCCCACGTACACGATGATGTCGTACATCTTGCCGCTCTGTGGACTTTTGCTTGACGACAACACCTCTGAGTGGACGAAGACCCCTGCACGCAAAGAAGCCCAAAGGGCGTGAAACCCGGAGGCGGAGATGTCCCAGGGCCCGCTGACGCTGCGTCCAATCGAGCGATTTGGGAAACGTTCCTCGAGGCCCTCCCGACACGACGTGTGCGTAACGAACGTGTCCCTAACGCCGCACTGCCGCTGTACATTCATGTTCATTAGGGTCCGGCAGATAAACATATAAAACAAGTGCCATTAGTTCAGTGGAATAAGATCGGGACTTCGTGGACACCCTGCGTCTGTTGGGCCGGCTGCACTCGCTTCACGGTGAGTAGCGGAAGAACTCCCGCAGCTATGCTACCTTCACCACCCGGTGCTGACCGGTGTGGTGCAGTACGGTCAACGAACCCCCCCCCCCCCCGTCAATAATGTTATGGTGCACCGACAGATGTTTTAGTGGGGGGGGGGGGGGGGAGCAGAGGAGGGTTTCCGCCCCTCCCCCTCCCCTTCCCTAGGGTCGCATTCTCGCGCGGCTCGGTGCACGTGGCAGCGGTGGCGTGGGTCACCGTGAGCGCGTGGCGCCAGGCCAGAGACACGGGCGGGCGGACGGACCCGTGGCATTTGTTTTTTTTTGCCCATTGACTTAAGTGGGGGAATTGTGCAGATTGGTGGCGTTAGGAGCCCACGGGTGAGAGCTCACGGGGAGGGGTGAGAGGGAGGGGGGTGGAAAGGGGGGGGGGCTAAACCGGTTCGGGTATCGCCCGCCACTGGTGTCAGTCAGCCTTGGTAGAGAGTTGAACTCACGTCGTCGGGGTTAAGAGCGTAGTCCACGAACTCCTGCGCCACACCTCCCGCCAATGAAAACAAACGCAGACGCCATAGCCGCCACCTTCACCAGTGTAGACTGTGCAGAGCTACGCGTGAACAAGACGCGCTACTCACGTGACACTCAACATCAAGGCAGATGTTGATCTCACCATCAGGGCGGGGATATTCCACACCTCTGCGGCAGAGTTATACAATAGAACATCCAACACGCATCTATAGGTCATAGGTCAAAAACACTTTTGGCTTCTCACAAATCGGTACGCAGTTGTGTTGCTGTTGTTAATCCCACGTTGATGACGGGCTCAACCGACGTCCGTGACCGAGGGTTTGAACTCTTGATGCGGAGTGCCATGGGGGGGTGGGGGGTGGGCTGGCCTGGCCGCTGGGCCACGCGCGGGCTGCCTTCTGCGTGTGCTCGCCGTTCATCAACAAACAAACAGAATAAAGTCGCGCAATAAATGCCCAAATGTTCTTGCCTCTCGTCCGGGTGCGAGTAGAGGTAGCGAGCTCGCGAGGGGACCGATTGCGAGCGACGACGACGTGACGGAAATAACGAGAGAGGGGAGAGAGAGGAGAGAGAGAAACAAATGGGGCGCGGTAACCTGTCACGTAGCCACGCCGCTTAATCGCGTTATAAGTCACGCATTCAAGGACACGAGCCTCGCAGCTACGGGGTTTGGGGGGGGGGGGCTTGACGAAGACCGGCAGGCGGCTTCCCCCACTGGCCCCGTTCCATCCCTCGCACAAACTCGCTGTGCCGCCGCGATGGCGCACGGAGGAATTGTTGCAGCTCCGAAGGTGGAGCCCGCGACGACGCGCATTCGGCTCGGATGTGACTTGTGGATCTAGACTTTTTTTTACTTTTAAGCAACTTTTATTGCCGCCAGCAGCGACAGCACTGGAGGCGATTCCGATATGAAATACAATCACCAGCAAACAAATAAAACACGCGCTTTGGCGCTAAATTCACCGCGCACAACACGAAAGAAAAGTCACGTGGTGGTGGTGGTCATCGCGCACGCCACGGTGACGAGCGAGCGCTTCAAAAGGTGAACACCACGAGGGTGCCGTCCACGCTGATACAGAGAGGGGCTTGTCCGGCTCCCCAGCGTTCGAAGAAGACGTGCACATCACCGACATGTGTATGATACGCGTGCTCCAGCCGGAGCCGCGCCTTGAGCAGGCCCCTGAACACTGGAAGCACAGAGCAGCCGTCAGTGTCACCTTCCAGCATCTTTTTCCTCGTTCTGTACACCGCCATCTTCGCCTGAGCACAGGCGAAGTTGGCGAGGTCATGACGCTTGTTAGCCAGGTAAGGCACCCATATACGAAGCTGCTGTTGTAGATGGGCACCCCCAGTTTCCTGAAGATGTCCCCCAAAAGGCGGAACATTGGTTTGAGCCGCTGGCAGCGTAAGTACCGGTGGGGCAGATCCTCCCTGGCACCGCAGGAAATGCACAAGTCTGTTACCCCTGGCGAGATTCGGCTGAGCCACACGGCCGGTGGCAACGTGCAGTGTGCCGATCTCCAATGTGCCGCGTCAAAGCGGTTGCGATTAGACGCGAACGAAGGGACGAAAGAGGCTGCCGCCCTCGGTGCGCACCTCCGCGGCAACGACGACGATGCTTCACGCCCCCGTTGGCTCTTTCCAATTCGAGTTTCATTGCCGGCGCACGCTTGGATCGTGTCGGTCTACGCGCCGAGCTGCCCTGGCTGCCTGCCCCCGTCCCGAGTGCGACCAGCGGCTGGCGCCCGTCCGCCCGACGGAGCTTGCGAGGGTGGAGAGGATCTAATCCCACGCTCCGTTGACCCGATAACCACGTGGGCACGTTCTTCTTCTAAAAGCACACCGGGCAGCAAGGTGTAAATTAGCTCACGGGTAGTAATCACGAGCTAATCGGTGCCGTTAATGCCCACAGGTTGCTTCGTCCTGCGGTTTATTTCCTTGGTGCAAATGTTACGTTGGATGAAAGCGCAGCGATGTTGTCCAACACATCACCCAGGGGGTGGACACTTGTGGGTGAAATGATTTGCAACAACGCAAAACGTCGTCACACAAACACGTCATCCAGTATCTCTTGTCCATCGGGCTGTCGACCTATTGACCTTGCAGCGCTATTTGTTTAAAACCTGCAGATCCCAGACGTGGATTCACCGTTCTGGGGCTCATCAGCAGCAGTCAGCTATGTTAAACAAATACCGCCGGCTTATCCGATCGGTCAGCCAGTTGGGATTCGGTCCACTGAGCTCACAAGGTCTCGCTCAGAGGCGACCCACGGGATAGCGCAGCACAGCGACGACGTCATTGGCATGCGGCCTCTCCCTCTCCACACCACGAAATAAAATAATCCAGTACCGCATCGTGCGATGCCTTATCGAGTGCTCTCGTTCCAGCACCCTGGGAAATGTGAACCCCACGACGTCTGTTCGTTGTTTCAGCCGATTGGCCTTCCCTCAGTGGCCTTGATGACAGGACTGCCTGTGCAATGTTGGGTGTTGGGGGCCATCTCTGTGCGTGCAAATGCATCCTGAAATTGCCACGTAAACACTGTTCGCACAAGGAACGTGTGTGTGCGTATGTGCATGCGTGCGTGTGTATTGGAAGAAGTCATCCCCTTTGAGTGGCTGGCTGAGGTGCCATCTGTTGAGGAAGTACTGAGGGCGATCCAGATCTTGAGACCAGGAAAGGCACCAGGCAGAGATAATCTCCCAAGCGAAATGCTGAGGGAGTGTGGCGTTTGTGCACAAACTGCCCTACATGACATCATAACAACAGTCTGGACCACTGGACGGGTTCCCCAGGATTGGAAGGATGCCCTGGTGGTCTCCCTCTTTTAGAAGGAGAGCTGCACAGACTGAAACAACTACAGGGGCATCTCACTCCTCAGTGTGCCAGGAAAGGTCCTGGCAAGGATTATTTAATATCGCCTTGCCAGGCACCCTGAGGAGAGGCTTGCGGAGCCCCAATGCGGTTTCAGGAAAGGGCGGTCCTGCACAGATGCCATATTTTTTTTCCGTCTGCTACAGCAGAGGTGTAGGTAATTACAACAAGATCTTTGCTTTATTGACCTTGTCAAGTCCTATAATACCATCAGTAGGCCTGGGCTCTGAGTTGTTCTTCGTGTTTTCGGAGTCCCTGACCCTCTGCTCACGATCATTTAGGCCCTTCATGATGGTGAGCGGGCCCGGGTAAAACTACGTGGCCGGGAGTTGGAGCCATTCCCTGTTCACTTTGGGGTGCGACAGGAAATCCTCTGGCTCCCACGTTATTTAACATCTATTTCGACCACATAGTTCGTAAAGTCTTCAATAACTGTACCGGAGTTTTCATCTGGTACAGATACAATGGAAGGCGTCCGGGTGCAGTCAAGGGATGGCTCCCTATTGGTCAACCACGTTATGTATGCCGATGATTTGGTAATTGCTACTCACTCAGAGGAGGAGTTGGAGGTGCTGCTGCTGAACCTGGAGCTTGCCACTTAGAGTTGGGGACTTACCATCAGCCCCACCAAAACTAAGCACCTGCCTGGGTAGTTTGTACCATCGGACACTCCACCCCCACAACTCCCAATTTGTGATAGGGCAGTTGTGGAGAGAGTAGAAAGTTTCTCATACCTGGGCATTGTGTTCATGACCGGCTCCGGTTTGATAGCAGAGATCTCACTCCGAATCAGTCGAGCTGCATTATCTTTTAATCGGTTGTGTAACGCTGTGTGAAAGCTACCTGGTCTGTTGCTCCGCACTAAGCTTCAAGTCTTTTCGGTCACAGTCATTCCCTCCCTTCTCTACGCTTGCAAAACGTGGACCCCCGTAATGTAACATATTTGCCGGTTAGAAACATTTAGGCTGGCCTGCCTACGATCCATCCTGTGTTTAACCAGGCTGGATTGTGTGAGGAGCTCACATATCCTTCAAAGATCTGGACAAACTCCCATCGTTGAGCTCCTCCAGCAGGCAAGGCTTCGCTGGCTGGGTCACGTAGCCCGCATGCCCAGCCACCGCATGCCTAAACAGCTTTTGTTCGGCCGGATCGAGGGGTCTAAACGGGCGTGGCACGGGCTAGAGAAGAGGTGGAGTGATGTGGTACAGAATGATTTGGAGCTGAGTGAACTTGCCGATGACTGGTACCAGCGGTATCCAGATCGGCCTCTGTGGAGGAGGCTCGTGAAGGACGCTACTGGGCAGTTGGAGGCAGTCGCCCTCCAACAACAACTGA